ACGGCCACGGCGTGCTCGAAGGGGCCGCCCGGGCCGCCCGTGTGGCCCAGGACGCTCAGCGCCACCACGGCCACCGTGGCCAGGAAGCACAGGCTGTAGACGGCCACGCACCACTGGGTGGCCGCGTAGCGCCGGTAGCCACTGTCCTGGACCAGCGCCCCGAAGATGATGCAGGCCACGAAGGCCTGGACGATCTTCAGGAGCCCGGACATCGTGGCCATGTAGCTGGCCACCTGGCCGGGCCGGGCCCGGGTCAGGGCCACCTCGGCCGCGTAGGCCAGGAACAGGAGCCCCGCGAAGACGCTGGCGGCCAGACGGAAGTCCCGGGCGGCGCAGCCCGCGGGCTCGGGCGGGCACTGCAGACGGGCGAAGTACAGCGGGTAGAGGACGGCGGCCGTGGCCGACAGCAGCGCGGCCAGCATGGCGAAGGCGGCCGTGAAGTTGCCCCAGGAGAGGCGCAGGCAGCCGTGCAGCCGGGTGACCTCGCAGGCCACCACCAGGCCCGAGAGGGCGAAGCAGAAGCCCCAGGCGGCCATGCAGAAGGTGCCCTGCACGCCCGCGAAGCCGCCGCGGTGGGCCACCAGGCTGAAGGTGGCGCAGCCGAAGGCCAGCTGCAGCACGCGGGCCGTGCCCACGGGGGACGTCACGGCGCCCAGGTGCAGGTACCCGCCCCCAGGGGGCTCCATGGTGCTGCCCATCGGACCGGACGGGCCGCCTCCTGGCCTCACAACGCGCCTGGCGGCCGGGGTTCCTGCCGGGCGGTGGCCGCTCTGTCTCCTTCAGCGCGGAGGTGCCGGTGCCGGTGGCTGCAGTGGCAGTGACATTGCAGGGAGCAGCCGCTCCGCCTGGTGTGGGGGGGCCGGCCCCAGCGCTATAAATAGGCGGAGTGTCAGAGCCTGGGAATAGCAGCCGGTCCCCATTCCAGGGGGACATCTGACCCCTGTGCCCCAGGCCAAGCCCCTGCCAGGACCATTAACCCCTTGGCTGCTGGCTCCGCCTCCTTCACAGCACCTGCCTCTGTCTGTCGCTCCTCTTCCTGCAGGGGAGGGGGAGGGAGGGGGAGGGAGGGGAGCAGAGAGTGACCCAGTCACTGTCCCTTCAGCTCAGCAGCCTCCAGGGCGGGCCAGGAAGGGGAGGGGCTGGGGCGGGGGTGGCTTGGTCCAGACCAGATGGTTGCAGGACCTGCTGTCATGGTCCCTGGGGCCCTGGGTCAGCTCTGTTCCGGGCGGGGATGGGGGGGACCCTGGGGAAGGGAGGGGGCTCCTGGGGGCCATGCCCCCTTTCTCCTCACAGCCCCCAGCCTGCCCTGGGTGGAGGTGGAGTTGTTATTTGCGGGGGTGGGGGTGCATTATGGAGCTCTTGACCTGTCCCTACTAGACATGCGAACACCTAGAAGAAACTCAATTCCCCTATTTTCAGGCTAAAATATTAATATGTACGAAAGGCTTGTGAAAATGAAAACATTTCTTTCATAGAACATTTCATGTTCTATGTTGATGGGAGTTGGAACATCCATCAATGCAGGAAACGAGACAGAAACATCGCCTGTGATCCTGTCGCTGGATGGACCACTATGAACATCTCGTGCATGTATGTGTGTGTGCGTGTGTGTGTGTGTATGTGTGTGTAATTACATAAATATATCTATTTCCCTGACTACATTTAGAAAAGCTTCACACTCACGGAAGAGTTGCGAAATAGCACCATGAACATACTTCCCCCTCCAATCAAGAATCAGTCCTGCCCTGGCCGGTGTGGCTCAGTGGATAGAGCGCCAGCCTGTGGATTAAAGGCTCCAGGTTCGATTCCGGTCAAAGGCACCTGCCCGAGGTTGCGAGCTTGATCCCCGGTAGGGGCGTGCGGAAGGCAGCCGAGCAATCCTTCTCTCTCATCATTGATGTTTTATCTCTCCCTCTCCCTTCCTCTCTAGAATCAATAAAAATATATATATATATATAAAAAGAATCAGTCCTATTTTGCCATTTGTTCTCTCTCCCTCGCACTCATTGATAGTTAACCATCAATAATAACGTTACCCTGGCCGGTGTGGCTCAGTGGATAGAGCGTCAGCCTGTGATTCCGGTCAAGGGCACGTACCTCGGTTGCAGGCTCAATCCCCGGCCCTGGTCAGGGTGCGTGCGGGAGGCAGCCAATCGATGTGTCTCTCTCCGTCCCTTCCACTCTCTCTAAAAATCCATGGAAAAATATCCTCAGGTGAGGATTAACAGACAACAAATAATAATAATGTTAATTCTGTGGATACGACAATCCGCCCGAGGTCCCTCCACGGACGGACGCCTGCTGGGAAAGGACCGAGCAGGAGGCTCTCGCCGGGACGCGTGAATAGCGCAAGTCCTTATTCCGTTTCCCCGCCTCCCGGGAGCACGCGGCAGCTCCCTAGTTTCCACACCAGGACCTGATGGGGAGGATGCATTTGGCCGCTGTGCCTCCGTTCCCGTATTCTAGAACAGTCTCTTTCTTTGTTGCGATTTCCTCACGCTGCTTTTTGGGAGCGCTGAGCCGGTGGCTTTGCAGACTGTCTCTCCGTGTGTGCGATCGGCTTGTTTCCTCACCGTTAGGTTCTGGACAGGTGTCTTCTTGGCCAAGAAACCCACGGGGGGTGGGGGGGGGGCGTGGCGCCTCGGCGTGTCCACTGCGGGAGCTGTGACTTTGGAATGTTCTAGCACCAGCAGCCTGGCCACTTGGTTGGCGAGTGTCCCTGATTTACGTCCACCCTGGGGGGGGGGGTCCTAGCTCCTGTGGGCAGCCACTCTGTGAACCACCCCCCTTTAAAAGGGGAGTCACACTGGCTGTCTGAATTAACATGCATTTAAAAATATATATAGACTAGAGGCCCGGTGCACGAAATTCATGCATTGGGAGGGGGGGCGCCCTTAGCCTGGCCTGCACCCTCTCACAGTCTAGGAGCCCTCAGGGGATGTCCGACTGACAGCTTAGGCCCACTCCCCTTAGCGTTGCCATGGAGGCAGGAGAGGCTCCCACCACCACCGCTGAGCTCGCCAGCCATCAGCCTGGCTTGTGGCTGAGCTGCGCTCCCCCTGTGGGAGTGCACTGACCACCAGGGGGCAGCTCCTGTGTTGAGTGTCTGCCCCCTGCTGGTCAGTGAGCATCATACTGACCAGTCGTTCTACTGTTTGGTTCAGTCGATTTGCATATTAGCCTTTTATTATATAGGATATTATATAGGATTTTTATTTCTTTCAGAGAAGAAGGGAGAGGGAGAGAGAAATAGAAACATCAATGAGTCATTGACCAGCTGCCTCCTGCATGCCCCCTACTACAGCTTGAGCCCACAACCATGAGCATGTGCCGGGAATCGAACCCAGGACCCTTCAGTCTGCAGGCCAACGCTCTACCCACTGAGCCAAACTGACTAGGGCAGAGAGGTGACATCTTCATTGTGAGAATGAGGGGCCCAGAGAGGCGCTGGGCACAGGTGTCCAGGCTGAAGGAGAGACAGGAGCTGGTGGAGGCTTGGTGGCCAGTGCTCAGGGAGCGAGGGCGGCTGGCCGGAGTCTGCGGGGTCAGGGCAGCTGAGCAGGGCCCGGCGGTCGAAGCTGTTCTGGGAGCAAAGGGAAGGGGAACAGGAAGCCAGGGGCGCATCCTGCCCGGGCCTTCAGATCCTTTGAGGTCGCTGTAAACACAGTTGAAATTTGGAGTCAATGTTGACACTGAGTTAAAGTTCCATCTCCAGGTCCCAGGGCAGCGAAGGTCGCGCTCCGCCAGTCGGCGGGGGAAGCAGGGCCACAGGGGTTGGCTGAGTGCCTGCACACTTTTTATTTTATTTTTTAAACTAGGGGCCCAGTGCACGAATTCATGCACCTTAAAAGGAACTGTGGGCCATGAGGTGCGGTAGGCACGGGGCGGGTCTCAACCCATCCTCTGTGCCCCCACTGGGCTCCTCCCATCACAGCCCCAGTCCCCTGTCTGCCAGCAGCCGTACTCCCACCGCTGCCGCTCCCATGAGCTGATGGCGCCGGCCCCGCTTGCACCCGCTGACGGTGTGGAGCAATTGGGGCCGGTGCCGTCAGTGGGTGTGAGCAGCAGCTGCTGCCCTGATTGCCCCTCAGGAGCAGGGGGAGGTGGAGAAGCCCTCAGGGGCGATCAGGGTTGGCAGCCACTGCTCGCACCCGCTGACAATGCCCACCATGTTCCGCACTCTGCTGCCTGCTGCCGGTGCCTGCCAGGTTCCATATGCGCCCCCTGGTGGTCGGTGCACGTCATAGCGACCGATTGTTCGGTTGTTGGGTTGTTCTGCCGTTCAGTCTATTTGCATATTAGGATTTATATATATATATATATATATATATATATATATATATATATATATATATAAAATTTGTTTTTATTTCATTTTTTTACAAAATTAATTTCAGAGAGTAAGGGAGAGGGAGATAGGAACATCAGTAATGAGAGAGAATCATTGATTGGCTGCCTCCTGCAGGCCCCCCACTGGGGATGGAGCCCTCACCCGCTGGGCTGGGTGATAATGTTTGGAGACAGCCGGTGGTGGCACCTTCCTGAGTGTGCAAATGCTGAGCCGTGCCCGCGAGACCATCCTGTGTGAAGCCGTGCCGTTCGCACCGGCTGCGCGTCACCTCGGCAGCCCAAGAAACAGGAATGGCAG